CCTTCAGCTGATCAGCCGATTGGTTTTTCTGTTTCTCAAGCACAGTGGTATGATGGCAAGATCCATGCCCAAAGAATCGAGAGACGAGCACTAGAATTCGGCCGTGAATAGTCCAAGAGCTGAGATGAATCTGGACTCCAAGAACCCTGAATCTGGGGGTCTTCAAGACCCATCTGTGTATCTTTTTTTTTCTTTCTTTTTTTTTGGTCGTACTTCATTTTAAGTGGGAGCCAAGCTTTCTGAATGGTTTCTCCTTCACAATAATCAAAGCCCCCCCCCCCCCCAAAAAAGTGAGCCCAAAAAAGCACATATTAGAAGGCCTTGGTCATGATGATCTGACAACAGATAGAACGCAAGATTCATGAATCGCGTGTCAAAGAATCAATCGACCAAAAAAAAAAAAAAAAAAACAAGCCTGTCTGGAATGCGAGAAAGACAGAAGAATAAGACTGGAGAACATTCCGGGGTTATATAGCAGCAAGACAAACCCAGGGCTGTATAAGTAGAAAGACAAGATTCGAGGTCAGAAGCGGGGGCAATGAGAGGTGAAGCTGAGAACGAGTGCAGATGATACGCCGCCTAAAACAGTCATGGAGGGGAGGGGAGGGGATGGTTCAAGAGGGGAATTTGACATCCATGAGGACTCTAGAGATCCCGCTAGAAGTGGGACCAGAATGATGATCGAGGTCGACGAATTCGACGGCTCCTTTGTGGGTATTCTCGACCAAGTCAACGAACGAATGGGTGCCGCCGCCGACGCCGAAATAGACGGATTTGGAGGCGATGAGGATCGTCGTAGAGTGGCTCTCTGTTCCTTCTTCTAGCCTCTGTGGATCATCGTCGGTCTGGTGGACGATGTTGTTGATCTTGGATGATAGTAAGACGTTGATCAGGTCCGGCAAGGAGGCGGTCGAGTACAAAGTCTCTGAACTCATGATCACTTCGCATCCTTTTCTTCTTTGCTTTCCACTCTTTCCCGGGACACTCAAAGTCAGGTTGGACGATAGTGCTCCCGGAAGCTCAAACGTCGACCATGGCCCATAGATCAACGTCAAGCGGATCCGATTCTCGCGCAGAAATAACTCAAAGTCCGTCTTCAATTCGTCTGTGATCTCTAAATCTTCTTCAGTTTCCTCTGAACTGTCCATCCTTTCTTTGGTCCAGTTCCCGTTCTCTTCTCTTTCTTCAGCCACATCCGCTTGCTCCAACTTGGAGGTCATCATGCTCGCTCGATAAAACGCTAATAAAATGTTTGGGAATGTTAGAAGCTTTAACACTTTTCATTTTCCCCAAAAAAAAAGGTGAGTGATTTGAATTTGAAAAGGGAGCAGCCTAGTCAGTTTCTGTTTGTTGAGGATTAAACTAAAGAAAACATCCGGCCTGAAATGGAAACAGAGGAAACATGTACCATCTGCATTGAAGTCCTGCAAGAGGATTTCGAGGATAGGAGACTCGAGGTCATGCTGGCGGTCGAATGATGACTGGAGTTGAGGAGCTCGATTGCGAGCCAACAGGAACGCAAACAATTTGAAGCAGAGGGATACGGTCGGCACGGCGGTCCCACACCCGATCTCCAAGATTCTATAGGGCAAGATATCTTCGGATTGGTTCCTGTTCTCGTCGGGGGTATTTTTTCGGTCTGGATGATCTTCTTCTTCTTGTTTTGAAAAAAGGGTCTTCAATCGTTCGACAATCGGGTCGAGATGGGTGGCCAGATCCAAGCTACATTCCCAAGTTTTGAAGCCGCCTTCGTATACGCCTGGGATCAGATCAGAGCTCGATTGTAGTGACTCTAAGGTCTTCTGTCTCGTCTTCTCCTCCTCGCCATTCTTCTTGCCTTCTTCTTCGCCTCCTTCTTGTTCTTCTCGATCTTGCTCCTCTTCTTCCCTCTCTTCCTCTTCTTCGGCAAGGTTGACTATCGTTTGATACTTTGCATCGTATAACTCTCGCTTGTATATCGATAATGAGTCGTTGATCTTCAGATTCGAATAGCTTATGAATGGCGGGAGTCGGTCGATCTATGGTCACATGACGGTAAGAATTTACTATTTCTGTGCTTCAGAATTTCATAAGTTCTTTTCCCTCCCTGTTTTCCCCCTCAATAGCTTGTTCGAGAAGATGGACGTACGAGTTCCTTGAATGGGATCACGACACATGGATCTTGTGCTCGGTCATCTTTGATAGTTTGGATATCCTCTGCTTGAGAAGGTTGGGTTTCTTTTGGTTGCTGATTGGTTTCATCTGTCAGATCGTCGAGGTCCTTTGAGACGGGAGTGTTCAAGAAGAACGAGCATCAGTACTTGCTTTGATGATGATGGATGATAGGTTGACTTACGAATTCGAACTTGAACATGTTTCTCCTACTTTTGTGTGAGGTGCTGGCTGTGGGAGGGAGGCTTCTTGGCCAGCGAGGGTGGCTTAAAAACTAAGAGCCAACTGGGCAGGATGCATATATGCAATATGGCCCAGTGCTGTGAGTGTATGCATCAAGCACGTCTGCCACCCGGCCCTGCTGTGAACACCAACAATCGAATCGGCATGTCTCGACCAGAACATCAAGCACCGCCAGAAATAGTCTGAGTAAACTTTCGCACTTCACAACCCCAATCTGATCTCTTATCACTGCCCTGCTTACACACACACACACAAACACACAGTTTTACAATGATAACGAGGCGGAGAAGTACACCAAGTCCAGTCGGATCCAATCCATCCAATCAGAGATGACCGAGCGATGCTTGGAACTCTTGAATCTGCCGTCCCAATCCGACGATCCTGGGGATCATGATTACTCGGCCCTGCTCTTGGATATCGGCTGTGGAAGTGGACTGAGTGGCGAGATCATTTCCGATCATGGCCATCAATGGGTCGGCGTCGATATCAGTGGAAGTATGCTCGGTAAGTCCTCCCCCTAACAACTAAATTCTTCTCTTTTTTTCTTGTTCTTACTGATTTTTTTGGAGGGGTTCTGTTAATTGTACGATTAAATCAATAGAAATCGCTTTAGATAGGGAAGTTGATGGCGATCTGTGCTTGCATGATATTGGGCAAGGATTTGGCTTTCGACCAGGAAGCTTTGACGGGGCGATCAGGTAAATGAAGCAATCACCATCTGAGATTTTTTTTTTTAAAAAACGGGACAATGATGAGATGAATGCTGACCTAAAGAAAAAAAAAAGTGTATCAGTAATCCAATGGTTATGTAATGCAGATAAATCCTCAAACTCACCCCCGAAACGACTCAAGGCGTTCTTTGAGACTTTGTTTGGTGCATTGGTTCGAGGCGCAAGAGCGGTGTTTCAGTTCTATCCTGAATCTGATGATCAGGTTCGGTTCATCATGTCTTTTGCTAATCGGGCTGGATTCACCGGGGGATTGGTTGTCGATTGTCAGTATCATCATCATGATAGAACAAAAATTTCTTCTGGAGTTGTTTGGGATTCAGTTACCACAAATTTATGCAGTTTATTGATAACGTATCTCTGTTTTGACTGTTTCTCAAAAGACCCTAACAGTCAGAAAGCGAAAAAGTTTTATCTGGTTCTGATGACCGGGCCTTCACCGCACTCAACAACGACCAACAATGCCAACCAATTACCTCAAGGACTAACGACTGAAGACCAGAATATGAGAGTCAAGTATAGCAAGAAATCAAACCACAAGAAAAACAAGAGATCTTCCACCAAAGGCGCGATCGATGAATCTAAACAAGCATGGATCTATAAGAAGAAAGAACTCTACAGGAAACGCGGGAAAGAAGATGTGTGTTTATTTTCTTGCTTTTTGGACCTGTTTATCCGTCACTCGTACATTCTTGTTGATTCGCATCTCATGGCTTTTTGCGCGGATATAGGTTCCAAGAGACTCCAAATTCACTGGACGGAAACGGAAAACTCAGTTCTGATTCGCCCATTCTATATCGATCTCTTTTCTTTTCTTTTCCTCCCCCTCTTCTAATCTTCAATCATTATTGTCTCGAGTTCAATCTTACACGTTTTTAACTCCTTCTTGGTTTCGTTTTTTTTTTTTTGTATTTTGTGGTTTCCCTTTTTCTTTTTTTGTTTTCTTTTTCATTTGTTGGGATGTTTTCTTGTTGAGACTGGCCAGACATACAATACAAACAAACAAACAGACAAACAAAACCCATGTGGACACAGTAATTCAGAGGATCTGCAACTCTCCCGTATCCCTATGATTCTGATTTGTTGATTGATGAAGTAGCGGGTTGGGCCACTAGGCCATTATCCATTCAACAATCACTATAGTAGGCGATTTTTTTTTTGACTAACCTTTCCTTGGAGCATCAACACCTTGTAATGTCATGACATTTTTTCTTTCATATTAAGATTCAAGATAGTGGCTTTGATACCAGCTCGCGTCAGTACTACTACAGTGAAGAAACCCAAAAGAAAGAAAGAAAAAAAATATACATATCAACAGGTTGAAAAAGGTTTGTGAAAATGGCAAAATCATACGCTCGAAATGCTCATGAAAGAGGCCATTTTAGGTATGTCAACCTTGTTTAAACCAATCAAATCTTTGTATTTGGCCCCAGATTGGACATTTTACCAAGCCCCCCTGCCCCCCCCCTCTTTTTTAGGGGATTTTAGCCTGAGCAGAAAAGTATGAATTTTCCAAAAGAAAAAAAAAAATGACTCCCCGCGGGGCCCCTGGGTATGAATGTTGCCGACATTTGAACTTTTTCAACATCCCCCCCTCCCCTATCCTAGGGCTTGCCGGGGTTCTCGAGGAATGTATTGAGTGAGCTGGCCGTGGACGGGGCATCCACCTCCCAGACTGACATTGACAAAGTGCCAGCATCTTACGCAGCAGTACCGTTGAAGGCGGAAGGTCTGACGGCAGGTGCGGTCATGACTTATAGCACTGCAAGGATAGAAATTGAAGGTGATGGTCTTGTACATGGTGTTATGAACTC